TTGTAATAAAGCGTTTTTAGTAGTGAACCTAAGTGTGCCTGTTTGTTCCTTTGAAAGCCCTATATCCCCCTCACATCATCTTAAAACAGCTACGTACGCAGAAATCAGCACTCTTCCGTAAAGTTTTTTTTCGCTGAATTTCCGACGCAGCCGCTTGTAACGACGCCACACGCATCTGGTCGTATTCAGGATTATTCTGCTAATCGGGCTAATCTGATGCCCAGCTGTTGGAGGACAGCCAATGAATGGGGGTGTTTGACTAAGAAAGCATCATCCTTGGCAGCAATTAAACCAAGCCATTAAAACAAACCCAGTGAGACATCATAAAAATTAAACACCATATAAATGGATAAGTTAAACAACTCCCCCCCTCCCACCCCCCCATGGGTGGTCACATGGGCATCACCAGGAAGCGACGGCGGGGGGGGGGGGGGGGGGGGTCCACAGACAACAGCTCACCTATGAGAGTGTGGAAGATAATGGCCACGGCTCCGGCCACGACCATGCAGAGGACGGCTTTGGTTCGGTCGCGCTTGCTGTTCACGAACACCAGGCCCACGTTCTTGAAATCACTCATCGGCCCCGTGAAGAACTTCATGAGGGAGTAGGCCAGGCCATAGCTGGCTAACATCTCCACAGCGTCCACTCTGACCGAAGCGATACCCCTGTTCAAAGCCTGGAAGGGGGGGGGGGGCTGTTAGTTGATCATTGTAAGACATTTTAAGTGGCTTTTTTTTAAAGGTCATTAAAGACAACTTCCATCCATCCATCCATCCATCCATTCATCCACCAATTACCTATCCTGGGCGGGGTCATGGGGGGGGCCTGCATCTCAACCCAGGTAAGGGGGGCACAAGTCTGGGGTACACCGCTCAGGAGAGCAGTCCACCGCAGGGCACAGGGCACATAAGCGTCAATAAGCCCAGCTGAGTAACCTTAATCTTGCCATATTTATCATTTACTAAAGAATTGAACGCCTTTCATGTCCATAGAAACAAAAAAAAAATACACCTGGGCATGTTGAATACCAGGCGATTCCCTGCTGGGCTATCGGGTATGTGAGCCAGCAGACCCAATCCCCCCCCCAGTCTGTCCTCACTATATTTGTGGGCTGTGGAGGACCACAAAGTTCAGGCCTGATTTATAATCCCAGTGCAGCCCTGACAAATTAAGAAAAAAAAAAAACAAATGAAGCAACACCAGAAGAAGGGTGGGTAAGTGCATGTGTACCCTGGTAAAAGCGGTCAGTCAGCCTCAGTCAGATGCCAGACATTACTGCATAAGTACCCCAGGGAAAGCGCGAGAAGCAGCACCCCCTCCCACCACTGGGGGTGCCGTTTGTAAATTAAGAGCAGAAGCTGCACTGCTCATACCCTGCCATCAAGGTCCTGCACGCCACCTGCACCGGAGCCCCCTGAGCTTGGGTCCTACGGAGCCACAATTTGTGTTGTGCACTTTAAGCTGTCAGGGGGCTTGCGATGTCCCTAAGAAGCAAGCACTCAATGAGAGCAGTGAAATGCCCCCAGCAGCCAGATCCCCCCCTTCCCTTGGACCACGATGACCATGGCTATTTAAAGCTCTCCGCCTGGCAGTTATGTAAGTGCAATCCTGCTTCCTCCCCCCCATGTGACTAAACAGGTGTCAGACTGGCAAGTGGTGCGAGACACCCCCAAATAAGCAGGGAGACACAGCGTGCCAGGGGCAGAGAGGGGCATCGGCGTGTAGGGTTCATGCCTCCTCTCTCTACCATCATCCAATAGGACACTCAGCAGCTGCCCCGCCCATGTACACAGCCCACCCCCACAGGAATGTCCCTGTATGAGTACACAGTGACCCCACAGCGTTTCCTGTGGTTGGGCACAGGAGGACCGAAAGGTGACCCAGCTAGTGACACAGTGAAATAGGTACAGGCTGCTTGCACTAGATGTATCTCTGGGGCTTTACGGAGCTCCTCCACACCGGCAACACCGACTGGTGTTAAAGCATGAATAAATGGATTTTAAAAAGCAGCCGCTGAAGCAGAGCAGATACCTGATCACACCCAGTGACCTAATCAGAGGGAATCCACGGACTGCACAGACATGGAAACAACTAGCCGTTTTTTCCTTCCTATTTATTTCTGGTCTGGAAGTTCTAACCGTCCACATTTCCATTCTGTTCCTTTTTGTTTACTTTTTCCAAGCTTAGTGAGATGGGGGGGAAACCAAGTCGCGCTAATTAATGCAAGTTAAAATAATTCTGCGCAAGCAGATGAGATGAGGACAGAAGATAAACACCTGACCTCAGGTAAACTCTTACTATGGAGGAGACCCCCCAATAAAAAGAGAAAAAAAAGAAAAACGTTCGCCACTTTAAACATTAAGTGAGCAACAGGACAACGGAGAACATAAGTGAGAGTCAATAATAAAAGCAGTTACTGTGTTATACGGCAGAGGCGGAGAATTACATTCACATTTCGGGCTCCTTTACGTCAGACCCATCCTGTTGCAGACTCATTCTGCGCCCACCCTATCCACGGCAGCCTGACAGTACCCTGGTGTACTGACGGCCAAGTGTCCCTTATATCCAACAGAAAAATACATAATTGCTGCGTAACCAGTATATCTGACTATTTGGGACATGAAGTAGGCGGACGCTCAATTAGGCGCATTTTCTTTCGGCGCCGCGCGTCGCTGCGGCGTCTTTTCCAGTGTGCGGATGCCCCGAAGGACCCGGCAGACTTTGCTCTAACTTTACGGGAAACATTTATAATCATAAGACTTTACTCGAACTGTGACAACATGCCTTTATAATCGGCAGACGTTAAAACAAAGTGGCGGGATACTAGAGCGCCTTCTGAACTAAAGAGACTTTATCCCCTGCATAGCGCGTTGCAGACGGCAACATAATTATTAACGCTGTGTCGCAGATTTTCCTTTTTCCGCAGACGACATGAACAAGGGAGAAAAAAAGTAAGTCCTTCCTTAAAAATTCAAATGATCCCTTAATTGGTCCTTAGTCACACATTATAAATACAGCAAAGTTCAAATCAAAAGCAACCTCCTACCAAAAAAATGATGTCCCCAAAATAATTAAAAAGTGGGTCAAGATACAATTTAATGATTCGATGACAGCTACATAAATACAAATTAAAACATTCGTTCGCACTGAAGGTAATATTTTCTTATGTGTGAGTTTTGTTATCTCCAGTACGATACCTATAAGACACAGTAATTCAGTCTCAAGCATCTGACTGCACAATTCTGCGCTCGGACATTTAAGGAGTTTCTTTGCGGGCGGTAAAAGATGCCCTTTCGTGATTAGGCATTTCATGCATGTCACTGTTACAATAACAGTTATAAAATAATAACCCGAACAAAAACAATCGGGTCCGATCAGCCACGCTGCTCAGACACCTATAAACCGGGCTGGCCGTAGCGATATAAATGAGGTGCCCGGCGTAAAATCAGCCCATCTCTTAGCGCGAGATCATTCCGGCGATGTTCACTGGTATTGCTCCTTACACCACAGGCTTTCCCACAGTAGTCCTCAGACAGACCCACACGCAGGTGCTGTTACTGCTGTAACGGGGGTCCGTCTTACCAAATTCCCATCTGCCAGTGCCGTTTTAGTCACGGTCATCACGCACCGGGAGCTATCACAAACAGGTGCCATAGCCAGCAGCCCGGGGGAGGCTTACGGCATCGGTAACGCATGCGTCCGCAATGACAAACGAAAGGGAGGAAAGGACTTGCCTGTTCCCCGAGGTCGATGGCGATGTTGGTGATGGCCAGGGGAACCAGGAAGCGGATGAGGGGCCAGTAATGTGTCAGCGCAGGAAACTGGACCATGGTGCCTGCCGGAGGAGAGCACTTCGTGCATCTGCTGCCGGGGAGCGCTGGGCAGGGAAGGAAGGAGCGGCTCGCCGTTTTCTAGCAGAAATCCGTCAGGATCGGGTCCGTCCCAGCCCTCCTACACAAAAACAGCTGCGGAAACAGCGGCGGGCCGCGGGGGAGAAAGAGGAGGATCACCACAAATTTCTGCAGCCGGCTTCTCCATTGTTCATCCATCAGCAGCGAGAAAAAGAGACGCATAGAATGAGAGCAAGAGCCCCATTAGGGTGCATTGGTAAGGTCCCCATTCCGGATATATCTATGCCGTACAAATGACACGAGTCTGGGGAGGGGGGCACTTTGCTAGCTATTTCGCAGAAGGCCGATCCACGGTCGTCTGCACTTTAATTACCATCCTCCCCTCAGCACATGGGGGGGTCGACGATTTATAAGCCCTCCTCTCCGGGACGTCAGCGGGGCCGAGGGGGCGTCACCGGGCTGATCGCCCCGATTTCAAAGGCTACTATCCTGGCACAGCACAGCATGCATTGCTCAGCCTCCGTATCTCTAAACAGATCCTGCGTATAGCACGCACTTCAAATGCAGGATAAATAAATAAAAGGAGAAAACAAAAGGTTTAATAAATTATTTACCCAAATGCGGTTTCAATTTGCATTTCCGTTTAAAAGCCGCGATTTGCAATGAAGGACAGGTGACACCCGCACTGCCTTAGGTCAGCCCTATTCGCTTAATATTATTTTGTCCCGGATCTCCATACATGGACACTCACCTTGTTACTCGGGCAAAGTTACAACGCGACCTTCACGGCGTCAGTAGGAAACAGAAGAAATATTCCCAATAACAAATTTGTTCCGAAAAATAAATTTATTCTCATTTACGCGGGTACTTAAAGTGCAAAGTGACGAATTGTCATATGACTTGCTCGTCACATGACAGAGTCGCTGAACTCTCAATATAGCAGGTAAGATTATAGTAATTAAAGTAATGACTCGATTTGCTCCGCTTTGTCAGTCCAATAGGTGACAGCTAACAACTGAACCCCGCAGGCTGTGCGCTCAAGTTGAGCGCAGAAACTGCGCTGACGCAGTGACGGTAAATCATTCAGCCGGAAGGGGTCCATCTCCGTTCATAATCCGCAAGCATTGGCTGTTTAATTATTTCAATGAGAATTAAATGCTGGAAATAATTAAGTTTTCGCGGGTCCACCCTCGAAGGCACATCTGATAATTCTCGGTCATTCTGCATTCCTCCAGTAATCCTTTTTCACCAACACAGAACGGCGTAGGATCTACTGGGATGATGGATCTGGTCAGAGATGGGATTAGGATCCATGATTCAGAGAATGGTCTTTCCAGCCAGCAGCCTCAGAGCAATTCGGTTAACAGGCTAATTAGGCGCCTGGATTCAGCTATTCAAAGGGAACAAAAGAAACGGCTGATTCCTATGTCACTCATAACTCTCCATATTGACACTGACGTGACTGTATTTAGTCTTTATAATGAAAAGGAAAACCGTTTTTAGCATATCGTTTTCCAGCTATGGAAAAACCTCTCTGTGCCTTCGGAAACAATACCGCACAAGTCTGCCATGTGCCCGGCGGAGACGTCACTGCATGCCACAGGCTGGTGGGCGCTGAGGTCGTTCATATCTGTCCTACGGCCTGGCCCAACCTACCTATATTTTCTGTGGCTGGCAGCTGCTGTGGCTTTGTGATACTGACCTCTCCTGGTTTGTGCAAGTAATATATATTAAGGATGTATTCAAGTTTAGCGATTTAACTTCAGTGGTTGTATTGTTGCAGCGTTTTCTATTTATGTTATGGCTTTTGAAAAAAAAAAAAACTACTGTAATAAGCTGTCTTTTTAGGCCAAGAGGCATAAATCATGCCTAGATGTCAAAATCTGAATAAATAAACATTAAGCTTTTGGCTGGAGTTTTATGCTGTTCCTCCGTTTTTTTGTACTATGCCTTCTTGTGGATATAACACACATTTAAATAGCAAGCAGTTTGTTTTATGGACGGCGATAAAGGTGTAGATTTGCCGCTTGAACTAAGTGTAAAACACATTCTAATCTAACGTAAGGATACTATTAGAAATTCACAAATTACGCAGAACAGACACAGCTAAATGGATCAAATGATAGGTCATCCTTGAAGAAGAAAAAACACAACAACACTGCAGACCTTACAGATGAAATACGTCTCAGATGCACCTGCTGCATTATGGGACAATCAGGCCCTCAGTGAGTCAAATCCAAAAACAAGAGCTCTAGACTAGTTTCCCTCCTATTGCCTCAAAGCAATGATAAAATAAAGCAGATTATACGAAACAGTTTAATTACATGACAAAGAAAATCCATTTGTTGCACTTTGTAGTAAGTAATTTTTCACTGGATGACACAGATAATTACTGCTCGGCAAATAAACAAGTATTCTGAATTACGTCTTAATGACGTACATGTTAGAGACATAAAATCACAGCTCCTGCTGTTCACCATATAAACTAAGCTGTTTGAAGTAAAATAGTGACTATTTGTGCTGTTTCGAGAGCTAAAGGTGTCCCCTAGTGTACAGTTCTGGTATTGCTTCTGGAAACCCTCCTGGAAGCATTAGGAAGACTGTGCGTCACACACACCAGAGTTTCCTGAGCACAAAACAAGCATACGCCGAACAACCATAATATTAAAACCACGATATTGTGCAAGTCGCCCTCATCCCTCCAGAGCAGCTCTGAGCCATCGGGGCATGGACTCCAGAAGACCACGGAAAGTGTCCTGTGGTATCTGGCACCAAAAAATGAGCAGCAGATCTGATTATGCCCAGTAAGTCGCAAGGATCGGACTTGATTTTGTCCATCACATCCCAAAGATGCTTGATCGGATTGAGATCTGGGGAAGTTGTTAGCCCTCAAAGCATTCCTGAATAATTTTTGCAGTGTAGCAGTGTGCATTATAAAGGGGTGTACTTGGTCTGCAATAATGTTTAGGTAGGTGGTAGGTGTCAAAGTAACATCCACATGAAGGCCAGGACCCAAGGTTTCCCAGCAGAACATTGCCCAGAGCATCACGCTGCCTGTCGCCCTGCCTTCTTCCTGTAGTGCATCCTGGTGCCATCTCTCCCCCAGGTAAACGCAAACGCCCAGCCGTCTATATGATGTAACACAAGTTGTAACTCATCTGACCAGACCACCTTCTTCCATCGCTCCATGGTCCAGTTCTGATGCCTACTGTAGGTCCATTTGGTGGCGGACCGGGGTCAGCATGGATACTCTGACCGGTCTGCAGCTACATAGCCCAATACGCAGCAACCTGAGATGCACTTTGTGTTCCGACACCTTTCTATCATAACCAGCATTAACTTTTTCAGTAATCTGTGTTACAGTTGCTCTCCTGTGGGATCGGACCAGACAGGCTAGCCTTCGCTCCCCATACTCATCAGGGAGCCTTGGCTCCCTCACCGGTTCACTGTATCGCCCTCACTGGACTACTTGGTAGACACTATCCACTGGATACCAGGAACACCACACAAGACCTGCCGTCTTGGAGATGCAGTCGTCTAGCCACTGCAATTTAGCCCTTGTCAAAGTCACTCAAATCCATACTCTTGCCATTTATCCTGACCGTTCAACTTGGCTAATATACAGTGGGTTGAAAAAGTATTTGACCCCCTCTGGAAAGCCACCGTATTTCCATCTTACATCATTACAACCTATAAAAATCACAAATGCAGAGTATCACAGTGAACTTTTATTTCTCTTTGTACATGTTTTGAAACAATTAGAGCTCGGTGAATTAAACAAATGCAAACTGACAGTCATGTTTTGACAGTCACATGACACACAGTCAGTACTTGGTAGTAGCACCAAGTATGGTCAATGCTTGAAATCACTTTGGACAGCCATCTACAAGCTTAGCACATCTGGATGGAGGCAATTTTACCCATTTTTCCTTGCAGAACTGCTCCAACTGGGCCAAGTTTGAAGGTTTTTGTTTGTGAACTGCAATTTTGAGATCACACCGCAAATTTTCAATCGAAATCAGATCCGGACTCTGGCTAGGCCGCTGCAAAACCTGGATCTTCTTTTTGTCAAACCATGCTTTGGTTACTTTTGCACAGTGTTTCGGGTCATTGTCCTGCTGAAAGAGGAAGCGTCGTCCGAGTCCCAATTTGACAGCTGACGTTTGAAGGTTTTCTTCCAAAATCTGGATATACTTCTTACTATCCGTTCTTTATTCAATACGGACAAGGGACCCAGTGGCTGCCCTAGAGAAGCAGCCCCAAATAATGACGCTCCCCCACCATGCTTTATGGTAGGTATGGTGTTTGCCGGATCATTGGCAGTCCCTTCCATCCGCCAGACTAACGTCTTTGTGTCGAGGCCAAAAAGTTCAGTTTTGGTTTCATCACACCAAAGTACATGACTCCAGAATGCAGGACTCTTGTCCATATGTCTATTAGTGAATTCTAAACAAGTTTTCAGATGACATTTCTTTAGTAGTGGCTTTTTTCTGGCAACTCTGCAATACAGCCCCTCTCTGTGCAAAGCCTTCGATATTGTGGTTTTGTGCACATCCACCCCAGCTGCAGATACTGAGCTTTGCAGGTCATTGAGAGTCACCATAGGATTTGCTTTTCTCTGACTAGTTTCCTTGACGTTTCCTTTGTTATTTTAACAGGGCGGCCTGACCTAAGTTGGTTCGCTGTGCTTCCAGTTGTCTTCCGCTTTCCTATGGTGGCCTTCACAGTGGACACACTGACGCTAAGGAGCTTGGAGATCTTCTGGGCACCACTGTCATCTCTAAACTCCTTAATCACAGTGGTTCTCAAGGCCTTAGAAAGTTCCCCCGTCTTAATTTTTTGTCAGTTTCTGAGGTTTCTCCAAATACGCCACTTGTACTAATTTCTCAGTTGTATGTTCTTAAGAACTGGCCTAAACAATCACTTCTGGACCCGTCAACAAGCTAGACTATTAATTGATTGATTATTTACACCTGTTTTCATTAACCTCATTGCATTGTTAACAAGCATACAGTCTCCAAGCTATTAGGGGTCGAATGCTTATTCATCAGCAGATTTTACTGATATATTGTTTATCGTCGTCGCATAATTTGATTTTCAGGATTTTTTTGTGAAAATTTATTGTCCAAGAGGCGCTTATTTATATGTAACAGTACGAAACTAAAGATGCATTTTCAAAGAAAAAATATTACAGGAAAATTTATCTAGGGGGTCGAATACTCACTAGGGGTCGAAAACCCACTGTATAGTGGCATCCCTGACAGATGCCAATGTAATCAATGTTATTCACTTCACCAGTCAGTAGTTTTAATGTTATGGCCGATCGGAAGGCGTTCACAGGCAATTCTAATATATACCAGCAGGTGGCACCATGTCCATACTTTCCACCTTCAAACAGAAGAAAGTGATGTTTTGTTGTGGGGGATAGCCACTCAGTCAGAGTCATGATAGTTCTCATGTGCTGTTTTAGGAGACGGGGGGGGGGCTGGACCTCG